CTATAGAAAGGGCATGTGCGACACAAGTTTCATGGGTCATTTTATTCATAGAATTCAATAAGCACACTTAATAAGTGATATGGAGCACATCTGGATGAATTTCAGGTCAAGGTCACGTCAAGGTCAGGTCAGGTAAGGTCAAATTTTGAAGCTGGTTGTTAAAACCTAAAAAGGTGTCTATCTGATGCAGTTTTTCACGACAAATCGAATGGTGCTATTTTTGTTTCCGTACGAGGTTTAGAACTTCCAAAAATAATTTCTCAAAAATGTGTGTGTGTCGTGACGTCATAAAAGCTTGAATAACTCCCACATTTTTGAACCGATTCTCCTAAAAATTGGTATGTAGGTGCACCTAGACGACTTCTCTGAAACATATTCCGGTTTTTCGATGCACTATAAATTTTGGATTTTATAATTACCTTTTTCCCAAAATCAGTTTCTTGAAAGAAAAAATTGGGCCAAAATCCAAAATTTTCAAAAAACCGAGATAGCCATTTGATAGACAGAGTAAAATCACATATAACCTTTTCATTACGTCTTCATTCCTTTTAAAAATGAAGATGTTAGCGGCGTTTGAAGTTTTGACGTTTTTTAGGTGAAAATGGCGTGACATGAGGTCACCTAAACGTCATTTTCTCAAACAATTTCTCATTTTCTCAGAACGAATTCCGACGGATTTCGTTCAAATTTTAGGGACCGTGTTAAATTGATGTATGGTAAGGTACTGAAAGGTTGACGTCGTTGGCGTAACGCGTTTAGAAGTTATTGGCGAAAAACGGGAGGGGGTCAGATTCTGCCCCCCCCCCCCCCAGCGGGGCGCGGGTTTTAATGGGGAGGGGGCACTGCTGACTTTTGGTCTCATTCTTTCCATGCAACGCCCATAGGGCTAATGTTAAAATGGCAAAATCAAGGGGTCACGGTGCCCCGGTGACCCCCCCCCCCCCCTGTTCCGCCACCTATGTCTGCGAGTAGAGACAAGTTGTGAGCACCAGCTTCTCAGCTGGGTATAGAAAACCGGAGGGTACGCCATTATATAACAAAAGATTTCAACAGACCATACAACTTGCTGGCAAAACTAGCCAGCGAGCACATCTCCAAAGCAATGCATGACGCTGGCAATCGGCTTCCCCTGTGAGGCAGCTCTGTCCTCAATCACGTCCGTTACAGGTAACAGGATGAACTGGTTTGTCAGGAAACTAAGCTCCCACTCACGAGCGAGAAATCGGTTTTAGGAAACGGGTTTTCTTGCTACATTACGGGAGGGGATTGACGCAACGTTTGTGATGTTGACCCATCAACCTGTTTGGCCTTTGTATGCGTTACATGAGCCATTTTCCTAATTAGCTGATTAATGTCGGGTTAGATAATATATTAATTTGCCTTGCCTGATACAGACTGAGGAGCCTCGGTGCTGCAACTGATAAGTGGTTTGGATGTAACAGGGATGATCTCATTTTTCCTTACGAAGCTTGAAGCTTCTCAAAAGCGTGAAGGTGAAGGGTGAGCACTGAGCAGTTTTGATTTCAGGTTTAACTTTCAATTTTGGCCATTCGTTGCTACAACGTCGTCTCCTATCAGCGTTTTACTTGAGTCCCAACACTTAACGCAAAAGCGTGCAATAATCAGAAGGTAGGAGAGAGAGAGAGAGAGAGAGAGAGAGAGAGAGAGAGAGAGAGAGAGAGAGAGAGAGAGAGAGAGAGAGAGAGAGAGAGAGAGAGAGAGAGAGAGAGAGAGAGAGAGAGAGAGAGAGAGAGACAGACAGACAGACAGACAGACAGACAGACAGACAGACAGACAGACAGACAGACAGACAGACAGACAGACAGACAGACAGACAGACAGACAGACAGACAGACAGACAGACAGACAGACAGACAGACAGACAGACAGACAGACAGACAGACAGACAGACAGACAGAGAAGCCAGGTCCAGGGCGGTGGATCGATTGCAACACATCAAAGCGGAGTGAGAGGGGGGGGGGCGTTTTAGCACCCCCTCTTAGTCGGCTCCTGGGCCACCCACAAAGCGGCTACGGCGGTAAACGACCTTCGAAAAACCGTCATCAGTCACGCAAAAGCAGTGTTCCGTATTCGGCCGATCATTTATTGAGTCAGTTCAAATGTCAGGTCACCAGAGGTCATCAAAAATTAATATTTCCCGCTGTTGAAATTCCACAACAAAGTGGCTCAGAGTTGAGTTTGTAAGCTTTACATAATGAAAATCGCGTATTTGATTGAGCTTGCACTTTCGAACGCAATTGATGTGCGGATATCCGACCTACACTCACTTAGCAAGTCATGAAGACACTTCAAGAGTATCGGTGAGTTTGAAGCTTCTTCATGGCCCTCCTTTTGAAATAAGTCTTTTCCTCTCCCGCCGCTGACTTAGCAGCATACCCAACAAACGCGCTAACCGTTTAATTTCTTCCGCTGTGAAAGTTACATAACCATCGATGCATGCTAAGGTAAGAGGCATCTTAGTCATCACAGAGTTGCACGTCTAGTGATCCCACACTTGTCTCGCGTGACCGGTCGCCATCAGGACAATCCGCCTGGAAGCCGCACATACATACACACACATCCACACACAGGCATACATACACACACCCGGCATGCCAGTGTCGTAATGAAGGGAAAGGTCCAGCCATCGACCAACCCGGCCGTGGGCAGGACCCGGGTCTTCAGGAGCCGACTGACGGACACGGTTTGCACCTCCACAGAGATAATCGCCCCTCGAGAGAGCCGCCGCCGAGGGCAGTCTTGTACCGCCGGGCCGGGCGGAGGGCGCCGCGCTGTCCACTCTCGCTCTCCGCGCCGTTCACTCTCGCTCTCTGCACCCTCCACACCGGCTCAACAGGCCGCTAATTAGCCTTCAGCCGGTAGCGAACGGTTACGCGTTGCGTAATCGCCACAGGGCATGGACCCGGGAAGACTGAGCGGCCTGCGCTTGAGAAGCGTGAGCCGGTGCCGTTGCGGGAGCGTGAAATGTGAATAAAACAGTTGGTTGGCTGTCATTCACCTGCTGAAGATTCCCCCGCCTTTCTCCTCGGCTCGCTGTTGGGTGTAGTCGGGTGACCGTGTGCTGCGCTCGACAGTGGAGCCTTGGTGCTCACATCTGCCCGATTCCGACTGAAGCAGCCGCACACACTCCACTCCTGTCGGTGTCGTATTCGGCCACTTCCAGCCCACCTCTCCAGCCTTTCTGATGGCGTAATTGTCGTCATACGGCTGGCAGTCAACAAAGCCAGCGTTATAACCCCGGTACCACATACGTGACCAATGGTTCTTCAGGCGCCGTCTGACACAACAAGTTGTGAGCCAGCGGGAGAGACGGTGTTTGCCCTAGGTTTTTGGTATTTGCCGATTGGGGTTTGCATTGTCTCGCTTTTTCCGATTTCTGGTCAGGTCACCGCAGTCACATGTTTTGCGATTGCGATGACGTTCAAACTTTACAGAGAACAGTGGCTTAGTGCATGCGGATTAGGGATTGCGACAGCTGAGCTCTCTGGGACTCGGTCAGATTCTTACGATACGATCTTGGAGCGGACGTAGGCATCGAGAAATCCTCTCGCAGAGTCACGACATCACGGCTCCAGCCGCTGGCCGGCCTGCTGGGCGGGCAGAACCGGAATTTCATCTGATGACCATCCCGAATAGTCGGGAGTCGGTATAGCGAAACTGAGGACGTCAACTTCGGAACTGAGGAACTCAACTCCGGAACTGATGACGTCACTAGCGGAACTGATGACGTCACGGATTGCGTCGTGGCCGCGCGCGATAGACATCGTGTGCCAATGAGGTGGTGTGTCACTGCTGTGACCTCACAGGGGGGGGGGGGAGTGTCCAATGACCATGAACGGTCGACGGTCGCTAACAGCCCGGAAAACTCGCCTTTCCCTTTCGGCGGGGTGTGTTTGAACGGCGGAGTAGCGGGGAGGGTGAGCGGACGGCGGACGGTGGACGGCGGAATGTGGACGGTGGACGGTGGACGGTGGACGGTGGACGGTGGACGGCGGAATGTGGACGGCGGATGGAGGACGGTGGACAGTAAACGGCGGAATGTGGACGGGGGCAGGTGGATGGGAGATGATGAGTGGTGACTGGTGAATATTATAATATTGTACATGGTGATTGGTGAATGATATTTATATTGGGATATCGTACTACGGGATGAGAGGAAGGATCAGAGAGAATCATCAGTGCATTGAATAGGACAACGTTTTATTTTATCAGATACAAGGCAATAGCCAAAATGCAAAAAGTCGCACGATGCAACAACAAGCCACAAATGCTCATTAATGGCTGCATTATCTTATGCTTAGCAAACCATCTGAGTCGTATGCGCAATAATTCCAAGAAAAGTCGTCCATCCTTCCTCGCAAAGTACTTTAGCATTCCTTTGTAGGCAGCCAGTCAGAGACATTAGACGCATAAATATGCATGTGGTAGCCAGATGAAATCCACCGGAGATTTAGAAGACGGCAGTGGCTTTTGCACCGGTGGCACACGCAGAGACCGGTAGGTATTGTATTTATTAGCTCGGTACAATGACCAATTGATGGACACCGGCCAGTGACCGGTTCCTCCCGACGTAACCGGTCGGACTCACTGCGCAGTGACCGGTCGGTCTGCCCCTCAGTGACCGGTCTGGGGTCCATCCCGCAGTGGCCGGTCTCTCCCTCAGTGACCGATCAGGGACCCTTCCAGAGTGACTGGTGCCTCCCGCAGAGACCGATTAGGGACCCTCCCGCAGTGACCGGTCAGAGTCCCTCCAGCAGTGGCCGGTGCCTCCCTCTCTTTAACTGGTAGGGGGTCCCTCCAGCAGTGACCTGCTTGGAGCCATCCTGCAGTGCCCCCCCCCGCAGTGACCGGCCGGGGTCCCCTCTTTCAGTGACCGGTCGGGGTCACGGAGCGCAGAGCCGTCCTCCACTTTCACCGTGGCCCGGCCGGCCTTGCACTTGGTCCCGGCGAGAGCCCGGCTGCTGGCCGGCCGACCGGTCAGTTGTGGACACGGAGCTGCGGCGGACACACGGACAGACCGAGCGCGAGGCGAACAGACACGCGACGTTATACACAGAGAGCGACCCGACCCGACCCGACCCGACTCGGGACCCGGTCAGACGGCGCGGCGGCCCGGAACTCGCGCATCACACAGCGGTTCGGTGGCGGAACTGCCCGCGGCTCGCTGACTGGATACCGGAGGGATTGGAGAAGCTGCTGGTAACCGGACGGAAGGAGACAGGTAGCCGTCAGGTGAGTCACCGATACACTGAGGAGGACATAAAAACGCCCCCCCCCCCCCCTCCCTCCCTCACCACCAGCAACACCTCGATGTGTTACGATCGGACGATCGTCCTAGCACGGGCTGGCTGAAGGCGCGTGGAGCTTTTCGAGTCATACCTCATTACTGAAGTGGGCAGCCTTAAAAACGACACATTCAAGTAGCTCATGACCGGGAACTCATTTATTTATGTGCAAGTCCTTCTTGAGCATTTCAAAACAAATTGCATTGCCCATATACAGCGCAGAAAGATACATGTCATTTACATGTCACATATTACATGTTACATGTCATGTATATCTGTCATCTTCTGGTTCAAGTGTCAAAAAATGCAAATTAGCCGATGACATTCTTAAAGTCGCTGATTAAATTTAGGCTCGCTTTGCTATGTCATGCATAATCACCACCACTTCCTCTATAAAGCAGCGGTCGACAGCCTTTTTTTTTGGTGTGGCCGGATGAAACATGCAGGAAGCGGTCGGCCGAGTGGATGAACCACGCCGTAAACAGCACTGCAGTTCACCTACCATGCACAATTGCACAGCAATCACATGCAACATTTGTGGGAAATACGACACTGTGATATTGAGTTGCTTTATTGTGACAGCTGAAAAAGATCCCCTGTATGGGTGTCATGTACTCAAGCATACGTTCTTAGGCAGAGTGTGCAAATGGGCAGAATCGATTTTCAATTTTTTATCAATAATGAATACGATTCGCTGGTCGGTCGCCAGGCAATGACTAGCCGAGAGTAACGACCCCTGGCAATAGGCGGAACCGGTTTAAGGCGGAACCAGCAAACCATCTCTGCTTTGAAAAAAAAAAACATATCTCTCGCTAGTCAGCCAGGATGGCATGGTCCCTGGTTGCAGGTTGATAAAACTGATCAAAGTTTATCCAAAATAATATATGATTTATAGTGCTAACCTCAAATCTCAATGGTGAATTGCTGGGCTGAACAATGCCAGGACAGTATTGTTTACGGTCGGAGCAAAATTGGCATTGCTGGTCAATGTAGTTTCAAAGGCAATATTGCACTGCACAATGCTGCTCCGGAGGTAATGTTGACTGGCAGCTCGATTTTTTGTGGTGATTTACGACGGTCAATATTGTCAGTTTCCCATGTAATGGTTGCATAAGCCTAAGCAATTGTGTGCTTCAATTTGCAACATCATCTAAAGTACTGGAAGCGTACTCATATGCACCATTAAATATTGACGATGTAGGTCGTCTTTCGCCACTTGATTGACTGTCTAAATGATAGATTTATCTGTATACATTCAAAAGGCATTGCTACGGTTTCATAGGCTTGACGATTCTCTATCTTCAGGTGTTTCAGAGGCTCACAAAGACTGATAGCCGAGAGATCCGTCAAAGCCGCTCAGCATGGTTGACCTCACTTGGAGGTCGTATCTGCTGCTCATCAATGGTATGTACGACGCGAGGTTACTTTACTAATACGGTACGACGTACGTCTTCTGTGTTAAGTTTTCTGTGCAATGGTACATTCAGTGCGTTTTGTGTCTCAAAAAATGGGATGTTACATTTGCTACGTCTCTGGGTACGGTTGTGCTGTATCTGATCAAAGGAACGTCATTTTTTCGTGCTACGTATCAGAGCAATCCAAATTGGCTGTGTTACGTTTTCATTGTCTTGTAATGTATGTTTCTCGCCAATAGGGGAAAACTAAAATGCCTTATAAACTAGGTGGCCGGTGCATGTGCAGCAAAGAGCAAAATGAGAAAATGGAATATCTCCCTGCCACTTAGGGAGGTTCATGTGAATGGAACCGCGGAGTCTATGTTTTTGTACAGTTTCTAGCTGATGTTTTGCAATGTGAACCAGTTTCCCTCATGAATGTCATTAGGGCGCCTTTTGTTGAATAGCTTGTTACACTTCACCAGCTTTTGACAGCGAACTATTCAGCCGTAGAAGAATGACGCCCGTGAATAGGTATACAAGTGGCCGATGTGCATACATCCGCTTTGACTTGATAATGCTGGAACTCAATGTTAAACTAATGTTAAAATTAATGTTAAATTGATGCATTAATGTTAACACAATGTTCAATGAAAAATTTGACTAGTTGGTAGTCTCATTTATTCCGATAAGCTTCATCACAAACCCTACCGTTTAGCACTCACTACTCAGTCTAACTCCCTCCGTCCTCCCCCAGTGTCGATATGGGCCGTGAGTGCCTGGATGCCGGCGCCCCAGTCCTTCACATTCAACGACCTGAGCATCGGGCACGAGGATCTGATCCAGCGGATTTTCACGGAGGTGTTTTTCTCGGTGCCGGGTACGGAGAAGAAGGTGCTGCTGCAGGCGGCCAAGGCGTCCGAGGTGCAGCCCACCGCCGCCCACAGCACTAACGTCTCAGAGGTGGGGACGACGGGCCTGACTGGGAAGGGATCTCGAAATCATGTTAGAACTACCTGAAACTGTGCTATGCGTCGCCGATAGTCTGGTTTTGCCATTCTATATAATTGCATTCAATATTCATCCGTGTCTTATGCACGTCAAGCAGATTATCCATTCAAAACGTTTGGAAAGCTAGCGATCACATGCTGAAAGTCCTGCGCGATGCTGTTACAGTTCAGGTCGCACCTTTGTTTTCAAATCCCCATTAATCATTGATGTCCTGCGCAGATTTTGAGCTCGCTCCCGCCTCAGAAGCTGTCGGAGGAGAGCGCCCAGGGCGTGGTACAGGCCCTCCCTGTCGACCACGTCTCCACCGAGGATCTCCTCTGGAACGTCTACAACAAGGAGATTGAACGGTTCGTCTCCGAGGTGAGCTCTGCGCCGACCCGGCGAGCGTCGGGGTGGGACGGGTTTCTTACCGTTCGGTTCAGGGAAATGGCAGCCATTTCAAACCTCTGCTCACTTCAGTGTCATTGTCTGCTATGTGTCGATCCTTATTTTCTCTCATTAGCAGAGTGGTGATAAGTGACGTATGTGCTGTTTCAGATGGGCGCCAGGTCGGGCAGATCGGACACCGGCTACCCCAAGGTCAGCCAAGGTCACCTGAAGCTCATGCTGGAGAATGTATTCAAGCTGCCCCGCTCCGACGACCGGGACGCAGGTGTGCCGTCAAACTAGATAATTAATTAGTGATTGAACTGGTGGCGGTCCTGGCTCCGCTGTCCTCAGGAGGACAGAAAATTGTCGCAATTAGAAAGCTTATGTGTTTAATTAAGGTGATTTAATCGTACGTCTTGTTATGTAATCAAGGACACAGGAACGAATTACAATGTTCTGATAGGCTGAGTTATGATAAAACATAGCATACTGTGTAACAGGTCCAGTTTCATCGGTCAGAAAAAAAAAAACGGAACGATTTCAACACTAAGGGCGTTATCTCAAGCGATTGGAACTTGTATGTCCATTCTTTTGTGTACGCATAAAGTCGCGATTTTCGTCATTTTTTATAGACACGTTCGTAAGGGAAATTGAAGGGACAATTGTCATTCGCCAACGAATCACTATAAGCTTCTGAAACGTGGCCTAACCGCTGACCACCCTCCCCAGAGCTGAAGAGTGCAATTCGGATGTACATCACGAGGAAGATGTACTCGTACAACATGCTGTCCGTCAACCACGTCTTCCAGTTCGCGCCGACTGACCTGGAGGCGCTGGCAGAGAAGCTGGATGCCAAGGATAACCTGGACGCAGCGGTAGGTCGGCCGCCCGGGGCTCCGCCGCGTGCTATCGCCATCGGGCTCATGGTGTACAGTAGGTCTACTAAAAAAGTCCCCCGCTCCAGAGGCGGCCGGCCGGCCGAACCCCCGGATTCCAGCCCCGACTCTATTGCGCAGGCCGCGGCAGCGACACGGGTCAGGTCGCGGCGCCCGGCGAGTGGGTCAGTTGGCGGCGGCCAGCCGTGGAGTGAGGACGCCGTGTGTGGGGCGCAGAGATGCCGAAGTGCAGAGGAGGGGAAGATAGTGACTCTGCACGATGCCGGAAATGATGCCTTTGTGATCTGAATTAAACACCTGCAGTGCATATCCTCCCTTGCCTCATTCCTATTTTATCATAATCCTTCAATAATCAGTAATGGCTATTCAACGCAAGCAAGCAAACATAACAACCCGTTTAGCGGCGACATCATCTCGGATAAAAAAGCGACAGTGATGATTAGAATAGACTTAACGCGAGGGCAAATCGAGAGGTATATTATGTATTACATACCGAGTATTTTATTCCCATCTAGCGAATTAAGATTGGGGATCTTGTCTAACAAGTCAACGGCCGTTCGAGACACAGATAAATGCTTTGTTTTCGGTCGCATCATTATATGCAATAATTCGAAGCGAGGTTTAACCCTCGCCGGCCGAGAAGAAGGGGTGGATGCCGCCATCATGTATTTTTTTGCGGTAGCTCAAAGCACACTGATGATAGAAGGCTGACATTTCATATGCCTTACATTTGATTCAAGCCGGATCATTTGACATCAACCACGTTTTCAGGTCAGTTCACTTGACCCGCACCCCGTTGGGGTGTGCCGAGCAACGCACCTTGCTGGGGAGGGGGGGACAATTTGCCCTCCCCCCTAAGATCTCGAGAACCACGCAACATAGCGACAAGCGGCAAACGGTGTTAGATAACTCTAACAAGGAACTACCTTGTGAGTCAATTTTTATTGACCTCGGTCAAACCGATGACGTCACAGGCCAAGTCAAATGTCGAATTTTCACGGTTTACAGGCATTTCAAGAAATGCGTTGTAAAATCGAATAAAATGCATTTCATTGAAAACCATCGATGGCGAAATGTTCGTCAAACACATATTTTGCTATTTGAGGTCACTGATACCAGGTCAGGTCATAGAGGTCAGGTCACTTAGGGTCACAATATGAAAATATCACGTTATGCATGTTTTATGGTCCATTTTACACGTCAAATACGATTCTGTGGGTCAGGCAGCCTTTGAGGTCGGTTTAGATTATGTTCTTGTGAAGGTCAGGTCAAGTTGAGTTGATATTTTTGCATAAAATGGGTATCGATTCGATGCAGCTCGTCACGGGGAGTTCAGTAGTGGTCTTTGTTTTGCGCTACGTGGTCTAGAATTGCTAAAAATTGAGTTCAAAAATTTGACGTCATCAATTTCGAACAGTTTTTTTTCGCTATAACTTGGCCAAAAAGGAGGTATCGATCTAACACTTGGTACGTATATAGAAGAGCGCAGGGACTATCACATATATTCCGTTTTTTTTTTCGAAATTCGGAAAAATTTTTGGGATTTTTTTACGTTTTTCTAAAAAAAAATCAATTTTTTGAATTTTGGGGGTTAAAGTCCCAAAATTTTGAAAATCCAAGTTAGCAGTTTTGTAGCGCCGCCTTTTGTCTACATGAACATACAAAGAACTTTAAAATTGCTTGGTAACTGTAGCTTTTGTGAGCGTTTCAAGATTTCATGTTTTTTGCTCATTTTTGCTCGAACATGACCTCAGTTTGACCTCAATAACTCCTGACCTAAGGTGACCAAAGACTTGAAATTTTGTGTGAAGGTGTCAATTGATGCCCGGGCAGGTACTTAAAATTTGGCAGCGCAGCGCGCCGCCGTTTTCTTGCTATTCAGGAAAAACCACAGGGGGGGGGGCAAATTGGTTCCCCCCAGCGGGGCGAGGATTAACTATGACAAACCTCTGCACGGTTGTCGGTTATAAAATGATGCAAATCCGCAATGCACTTAGTGTCATATAGGTAAGCATAATGGGGAAATATGGAAACTGTTAATTTGGCGTCGGAAATGATCTGAAACTATGTATACCTCAAGCATATGAAATCGTGACTTCATACATTCTTGGCAAGATCTAATGCTTCACTTTTGCATTGTTCACCTTGCGTGACGTCATTTATGACGTCACTAGCGTCATAGGAGTGCTTCGTCAATAACTCCCGATCAAAATGAGCTAGCCAGTCGGGACAGTAGCGGCGGAACACCTTCAATTAAGGGGGACACTGCCGACTTTTGGTCCCATTCTTTCCATGCAACGCCCATAGGGCTAATGCTAAAATTCCAAAATCAAAGGGTGCACCGGGGCCCTCCCCGTTCCGCCGCCTATGAGTCGGGACAGCCATCAATGGACTTCGCAAGACTTGCCGAATCAAATGTTATGCAACATGCCCTCCTTTCAACGGCTTCGTGACCTGTGTTGCCCTTACATGACATTGACCTGAGGTAAACATTGAATGGTGTGAAACGTTTTTTTAGCATGATTATGATTATAATGGAAATCAGATGGAATAGTTTTTGGATTTGTTTTTAGCTTACTTTAGTTATGAGCAAAAGGTTACTATTCCATCTGATTTTCATTGAGGTAAACATCCTAAATTGCTTCACCTAAGCCAAAAAGCATATAAATCGACGCGTCTGAGAACAGAAAACACGATTGTATCGAAATGACGATAGTGCGACAATTTTTACGGAGTTATTTACCAAAAACCGATCCAATGCCTTGGGGCTCTTGACCTGCCGTAAGAGGTCACTGATATTTTAAAATGGGGTACCAATCGCTGCGTCACGTAACGACGCAAGCGCTCGTTTTTTCCGCGATGCTCTAGCAGCTAGCTAAATTATAGGAGCTAAACATGGGGTTAGGGAATCGCTCCCTTCTCACTCGCTCTTTGGCCGAGATAGTGCTTGCAATTGTTGTTAAAATCTAGCATTTTAAGATTTCAAATGACCCATTTTTCCCGCCCGAGTCTTTCAATTCAAGGTCATAACACCAGGCCATGCGTCAAGTGACCTTACCTCAAGGAAAGTTCCTGTGCTCATCATATCTAAATACACTGACTAACCGATCGCTTTAGAACTTGCAGCGATTTCAATGGGCAACAGTATATGTATTTGAAACGTTTACTTTGCAAGTTTGACATTGTTGACAGAAAGGCCGGGTCAATTTTGAGATCGCTCAAGTCAATGGGAGAAAATTGAACTGCGCTTTAACCCTCGCCCGTATAGGGGGGGGGGGTCGAACGGACCCCCCCCCCCCCATGGTTTTTCGCGAATAACTCGCGTAAAGAGCGGCCGATCGCGACGAAACTTTCAGTACCCTCGCGTTAATCAATTTTACACCTACCCTGAAAATTTCATGACCCTGACCCCAATGACCTTTGACCTGTGACCTACTTTTCGAGACCATGTTTGGCCGGAATCGCGATTCGGCGTATGTCGGCTCGCATTAGCCGCGCGTTTGCAGTCTTTTCGTGGTTTCAAGGGTTCAAACATGTGATATGATGTTGCCCCCATTCATTAGGGTGGGTGTCCAGGTCACCTGAAGGTCAGGTCAGGTCATTGACCTTTGGTGACCTCGGTTCACTTTTTCGAGTTTTACATGTTTCTAGGCCAGTTTTTTTAGCTGAATTCGAATTTAGCAACTATATGAACATTTACGAAGTAGTTTTGGTGCCTTCGTAACATGTTACGAAGCTGTTAGAGGCGGTTGACACCTACTAGGAATACCCGGCAGGACCCCTACTGGTTGACCTGACCTGACCTGACCCGACCTGGACTAAATGCATAAAGACATTATCTGTGATCAAAACTAACATGATATTCGTGATCAGCGCCCCGAAAAACCCTAATGCAGCCACACTTTACGACGTTCTAACAGGTCCCGATTTTCCCGACTTTTGGGTCATTGACCTGACCTGCAAGGTCAACCAATGACCTAGGACCTTAAAATTAGGTATCATCGGCTTCCTCTCGTCACGGGCAACACGCTTGTTTTTTCCGCGAAGCTCTAGCTCGATCAGGGGCGAAACGGCAAGGGGGGGGGTCCAACGGACCCCCCCTTATACGTTCGCGGCTGGAAAAACACCAATACGGGCGAGGGTTAAGGACGGAACATATAATAAACACTCTGAAAACATGTGGTGCTTGATGAGATACAATACTGAATGAGAAAATTGTTTGTAATGTTGGGAGCCATCTTTTCGGTCTGAAAAGGCCCTTGCAGAGCTATGACATAACTACGAGTATATGCTCTGGTGTAGTAATTGGGTTGTGCGAGCCAGCGACAGTGATCTGCAGAAGCGAGACTGTTCCCGCATAGGACGATTGCCCTGCATAGGACGAGGTTGGCTGGTGGGGTGACCTCCAGTCCAGAGAGCGAAGCATGAAGACTAGGGGCGATGCGGATTGCGGATTGGTTTTTCCTGAGGATAGCGAGGACGAAAGGAATCTAGCACCCTTGACCCTTCCTTATACTGAATGTATCTCGGGCTGTTAAATCTTCTAAGCGTTTTTTCTCGACATCGTCAAGGTGTCATTAATAGAAATATGAAATCCGGGAGGATAGATTAAATATAGAAATTGTGGCCAACAGAACATTATCAGCTGCGTTCAACATTATCGTAAGCATGATCACACACCCAGCTTACATATGAGCCATGTAATAATTATTTTTGATAGACATGCTTAAGTTATGAAATCATCTGAAGTGTTTGTTGAGTTCCACGATAAGGATCTAATATCCTGCTATGCATCATGACCATTTCTGGTCAGATCACGTCTTTGAACGTAGGCCAAATTTTTCAAATGGCCTTTAAAGATCAACCTTTGATTCATTCGAAGCGTTTTGATAACAGGAACACGAGGCTGGTAAAATTAAATTCATGCAAGTTTGAAGCTAAAAACTTTTAAGTGTTTGTAGAAAGGCAATTGGTTTTCTCATAATACCGATAGTGGCAGTTGTTGTTCTTTACATGCTAGGCCGTTGACCTTAATTAAATCTGACAATATTATTCAGACATAGCGGTAAACGAGCTGATTGTTGTGTTAGGTTAGGCTCTTTCGGTCGATTTCAGAGTGGGAGGGATGACAGGAATTAGGGGGAGACAGGGGGCCTGGGCGGGAGTCCTGGACCTCATGCTCCGCTGGGGCCGAGCCCATCACGTGGGTTGGATTGCCCTGACACATGGATAGCCCTGGGCGGTGTTTCACGGCCCCGCGCTGCAGCACGCTGCGCTGCGCTGCTGCATTGTTGCGGCGGTTGATATGAATTCGGCTCCACGCTAGCGTTGCGAGCTTCCCAGTCTGTTAATGTTTCCATGGAAATTGGAAACCCAATGCACCGGTGCGCGCAACGCATCCTGTCCAAGCAAAATTTTACCACCGATGACCTCTGGTGACATGACCTCTGGCTCTGACCCGATCTAAAATTGGCTGAAGTATTTTTCTTCTTCTTTTTGCTACTTTTGACGCTTCACGCTACTTCGAATACTACTTAAATGCCCAAAGCTGAGTTATAAGAATGATGCTCAATCCCCATTTTCCCTTCAACAGGGCGTGTCTAGGCATTCCTGTGGGGCACGGGCTAACAATGACTATCTCATAATCATTGTGGCCATGAACATCTACTGCCATTCTTTAACACCGGTTTCGCTGCGCTGAGCGGTGGCCGTCCCGTTTGTTGGATTCTACTGGCTGGCGGAAAGCGTTACCGGCCGCCCGTCCACCGCCCGCGGGCCGGACCGAGCGGTCCCGCTGACCCAGCTGACCTGAGCCCGGCGCGATATGGGACAGGCAGACGGGGGTTCGGCTCAGCGGAGGCAGCGCCCACTGCTGGTGGGGACTTTTTTAATAGACCTACTGTACGGCACATTTAACTTGTAAAACAGTGATATCTAACGCTCGATCTCTGAGGTTTTACCCTACGGCAGTGTCCGTTGGGAGCTGTGCCACATAGCCACTAGGCCTAAGGTATGTATGGGCAGAGATGCATTCTGCTTTCACTGCAGGTACAGGACAGGTATCTGATTATCATACTTTCAACGAAGCCTTACAACTGATCGGGCCCATTATGCAAATATCCATGCTGGGCAAAATCAGTAAAATCAGCCCGGTTGCACTGAGCGGAAAGTGAACGCACTATGCGTATCCTAATCTTATCTTCATAGTGATATCCTGGCCTATATGTCCTGTAAAAAGGCTAGTGAGTGCCTGTAGCTTCTGGCTTGTATCCAACATGAAATTACAAATTTACCGCGTCCGTGTTTGTAATGTGGTGCCTATAAGTTTCAGTCTACAAATCCAGAATCGATTATTCTACATCAGGATAAATCTGTATCTGAATTACTGAGTGCCTAGGTCCTTGCGAATCATCTACTCACCGTTGCACCCCTCACCCCTCCGCTCCCCTCCCCCGGCAGTTGGAGGTGCAGGCCCAGGGACCGGAGGAGCCCATCGGCGTGAATGTGGTGGGCGTGCTGCCCGGCCGGCGCTGGGGCACCCCCGACGACAAGCTGCTCATCGTCGGAGCGCACTACGACACCGTACCGGATACGCCTGGTGAGTGCAGGGCGGGGAGACACCCGGTGACACGGAGAGAGACACGAAGAGATAACCAGTGACACGGAGAGAGACACGAAGAGACAACCGGTCACACACGGGGATACCCCAGGTGACACGGGGACACCCGGTGACAGAGAGACACCCGGTGAGTGGGGTGGGGAGACACCCGGTGACACGGAGACACCCGGTGACACGGAGACACACGGTGACACGGGGAGACACGGAGACACGGAGACACCTGGTGACACAGAGACACCCGGTGATGCAGAGATCCAGTGACACATAAAACCGGTGACACCAATAGACACCCAGTAACACGGGAGAGACACCCGGTGACACAGAGAAAGACACACGGTGACACAGAGTTCCCTATAGCCAGTGACGGGGAGAGGCCTGGACTCCGTGCCCGCGAAAGGTGGTCGGTTTGGTCTGTTGGCATTGCTCGCTCGTCTCGGTAGCTGTGCAGCCTGCAGAGAAGCGGTTACAGGAGAATGTGAATTGTGAAGCAGGTTTTCGTTGCACAGAGGAACCGGACAAGGAGATATATTTTTGTCGTTTTTACAAAGACTAATTTTATGTGTTTTTTTATTACGAGCGAGCGAGCGCAGCGAGCGAAGCGAAGTCTTTTCAATATAACGGAAAAATCTCAGTATGAGCGGCCCGGCCCGGCCCGGCCCGGCCCGGCCCGGCCCGGCCCGGCCTGTAACGCTTTTGAGAGGCTTATATCTCAGCAACCGCTGGGCCGAATGGCCTGCGGTCTTTTTTGCTGGGTAGCCCCATCCCTTCTACCCCGTAATTGACTACTTTTGATACATCTCAGTGACCGCCGTGGCACGTGCCACGTGAAAAGTCAAGGGTGTTCAAGCAGTTTTGCAAAAGTAATGATTTTGATAGGCCCATATCTCAGCAGCGGCTTGAGCGATTGTCTTGCTGTCATTTTTATAGGTAGCCGCATCCCTTCTACCAAAGGTCGGATACTCTTCATCTATGTGAGTGACCCCCACTGCACGTGCAAAATACAACAATAAGAGGTGCCAAATTTGTTCCCATTTCAGTAACTCGGTAATTACTGGGGCGATTTCGCTGAAACTTGGCATACAGGTAGGCACTCACCAGGCAATGCATTCCCATGTGTTGCGGTTAGGGTGCTACTGCACGTGCGCATGTGCATGGGGCGTTTCCAGATCTCGAGAACGGCTGGGCCGATTGCGCTCAAATTTGGTACACGGTTGGGGACCGGTTAGTAGGGTGCCGTGCAAAAGTCATTTTGGACCCCGTTTGCACGTGCACACGTGCAGAATGCCGCTTCCAGATCTCAGGAACGGCTGGGCCGATTGCGTTCAAATTTGGTACACCGCTAGCGACCGGTTAGAAGGGTGCTTTGCACAAGCCCGTTGGAAGTACCCTCTCGCCCTTCTGCACGTGCAGGGCTCACTATATCGCTCGCTCGTTCTTCGCCCAAAAGGCGTTTTACTGGTTGTATGTGATTGTATGTGTTATGGCCAAATTATGTGTAGAGACTAGAGAGACACGTTTCTTACTAAACCAGTTATCGCTCGCTGATGCCATCGGTCTTACGTAGAGAACTGCGAACTGTTCTTAGATAATTTATCCGGTATGCTAGGCCTCCTGCTCTTCGCGGACATATTGGACGTTAAACATTTGTGTACTTGCTCTGGGATCAGACTCTCAGTGGTATGTCTCTGCACAAACTTGCACTCGGGCGATACCGGTATTTGTTGCTCAATTTTGGGATACAGTTCACTCCCAATCTGTGCTCTGGCTATTTCATTTTCCAGATATGTTCGCAAGTGGCTACCTGGAAACCTCATAAAATCAGTAACTATGTTGAAATATCGTCCTACAGGACGACGGCCCCGCTGAGTTCCATCCAGAACTCGTGACGTTCCCAGGGTGGAGATCCAGATCCTCGTCTCCGAACCGAATTGTAACTCCTTCTCCCCCAGTCCAGCTGAGCAGTGAGTCCCGTGTTTCGGTCAGGTCTGGACGATAACGGCTCGGGCGTGGTGGCGCTGCTGGAGGCGGCGCGCGCCCTCTCCGAGGGCGGCTGTCGCCCTGAGTTCAGTGTGCTGTTCGTGGCCTTCGACCTGGAGGAGCAGGGCGGCGCCGGCTCGCTGGCCTTCATCCACCACGTGCTGTACACGGAGGTCCTGGCGCCGGCCGGCTGGCCCGCCGTCCAGGGCGCCTTTATCTTGGACACAGTGATGAACTACAACACCACGCCCAGCGCCCAGTCGGTGCCCATTGCCTGGATGGAGCAGGTGAGGGAGGACAGGGCAGCGAGGGAAGGGGAGGAGAGGGGAGGGAGAGCTGGCACGCACTGTGGCCCAACAGCTGACCGCAGCTCGCGTGCCGCCGTTGGGTAACCGGTCACGCAAGCGCGCGGTGCCGAGGAGTTACACATTCTGAGGTCTGCGTGACGCATCGTTACGCGTGGCTACGTGGATGACGTTTGTTTTAGTAGGTAGTTGCCTAATAAGCGCTGTCAGGATTTCGGTGGTCGGTTGATCGATGTTTTGAAGCAATCACGAACTGCTTATATCGTTGTCCAAAAGAGCAAAAGGTTATTGTCGTAAGCCCTCAGTTTACAGTCAGTGATCCGCAGTTAGGGACACCAAAAGGCAAAGACATAAGCATATACAGAGCGACCAAACAATTCTGAGGACCAGACGCCTGAGACCTTAAACTGAGTGGCATAAATTAAGCCATGGAATGTCTTGACTTTGGAGAAAGTTAGCCAGGAATACATAGAACCGTGACCAGTTTTGTGATCGCGAGAGCACCAGTCGAGAGGAGCGAGGAGAAGCGAAGCTAAATGCCGCACACGTGCGCTGGGACAGCTGCACTTAAAGGGACTATCCCACCTTCTAAAATGTTGTTAAAACCAGTTAAATTGTGCCCGACTTAATAGATTGGATGACCAGGAACACAGTTCTGGCATTTATTTTTCATTAAACATCTTAGGCTTCCCATATTCCAAACACAAACTTTCAAATATGTGACGTCACAGCCGAAAATTACCTCATTCCCCAGGCCACATTACTGTCATAAAGCTGATTCTTTTTACTCTGTAGGCACCACAACAAAGTTCAGACCAAGTTTTAAGCGATTTTTCAACGAACAAACCCATGTAAATCAGAATGACTAAACGAGGTGACGTCACACTAACGGTCGCTCCATGTTGAAGATAGGGCCTTGTACAAGGCCCATTTTCAAATGAATGGAACGAATTTCTTCAACACCAAGAGGCCGCGGGGGTTGCAACCTAGATAGATAGTGGTTTCTGAACCTCGCCGCAAACTTGGCTATCTCAACTCAAACCCCATGTTAAAGGTGGGATAGTCCCTTTAACCCGCGCCCCGTAGGGCTACCGGCGGACCCTACCACCCGTAGGGGGGGGGGCCGTTTCGGCCCCCCCTAAGATCTCGGAAAGTTACCGGCCGATTTTCAAAATTCAAACGGCGTTTGATAGCCCTACCCGGGAACTACCTTGTGACCAAATTTCATTGACCTAGGTCAAACCGATGACGTCACAGGTCAGGTCAAAGGTCAGGTTTTCACCGTTCACAGGCAATTCAAGAAATGTGCTGTGAAATCGAGTAAATTGGCAATTTATTGAAAACCATCGATGGTATATTGTTCGTCAAACACATACTTTGCTATCTGAGGTCACTGATACCAGGTCAGGTCACAGCGAGGTCAGGTCACCGGGGGTCACAATATGAATGTGTCGTGTGATACATGTTTTATGGTCCATTTTACATGACAAATGCGATTATGTGGGTTAGGCAGCCTTTTGGGCCAGCCTAGGTCACGTTTTGGTGAAGGTCAGGTCAAGGTCAGGTCAAATTAGGTCAAATTTCAAAGTTGATATTTTTGCATAAAATGGGTATCCATTCGATGCAGCTCGTCACAAGGAGTCTAATGGTGGTCTTTGTTTTGCTCTACGAGTTCTAGAATTGCCAAAAATTGAGTTTGAAAATTTGACGTCATCATTTTTGAACAGTTTTTTCGCTATAACTTGGCCAAAAAACGAGGTATCGATCTGAAATTTGGTATGTAGATAGAAGACGGTAGGTACTATCACATATATTCCGTTTTTTTCGAAACTCAAAAAAAAAATTTGATTTTTTGGCTAATATATAAAAAAATGCTTTTTTGATTTTTGGGGATCAAAACTCAAAAAATTCAAAAATTCTAGATACCTAGCAGTTTTGTAGCCCTGTCAATTCTACACCTTTTATGTCTTAATCATTTTTCTGTATCTTCAAAGCTGTAGGCCTGACAGGTCTTCTCGCGAAGGTCTTTTTTCGGTCGAAAATGACAGAACATGACGTCACTCTGACGTCATTTGTGGCCAACCTATCACAGCCTCTGGAAAAATTTTTGGTCACAATGTGTAAAATTGATGCCCGGAGGGGTCCTGAAAGTTTGGTGGCGATATCTCCAGCCGTTTAGGAGATATCGACCGAAAAGGACAGGGGGGCCGTTTCGGCCCCCCCCCCCTACGGGGCGCGGGTTAACAGGATCTCTCCGAACAATGCACCCTTTGACAGCGCACGTATTGTTTCGATCTCTGGCAATGCTCGTTGATATGATAGCCTATCTGCAAAGCGTCAGCGAGACTTCCATATATGACCGTATTGCTAAACTTGGTAATAAAATCTCTCTTTTGGTCCTACCCTTCTGAAAGTCTTTCCCTCATGATTAGAAAATAGCGTCATTCAACTTTTACCTTCTCCAAATGCAGGCAGGGATATGAGTGTAAGACCGTTCGCAGCGCTCAAGAATCTATACCCCACTGCTAGTTTCCGCTCTAACTCTGTGCGTCTAGTATACCCCACTGCGAGTCCGGCAGCTAGTATACCCCACTGGCCGGCAGCTGAGAGGGACGGTGGACCGGATCGACCGGCGCGGCGGGCGCGGCGACTTCCTGGCCGCCATCTACCGGCGGCCCGTGGAGGAGCAGCTGGTGGACGCCTTCAGCGCCCACTACAGCACGCTCAGGGACTCGTACAAGTTCTCCATGGAGCGGTTCGACGTCGACCTGCCCGCCAAAAAGCCGAGCGATGAGGTGCTGTTCAAGCACATGGACCTGATGCGCTCCGACCACAGCCGATTCTGGTGAGACGACGGGAGAAAGTGGGGAACACGGTCCTGCCACAGGGCTATGGGAGTGACAATGAGTTTACGAGGTGGGACTTCCATCTCTCACGCTGTTTCACCGGTAAATGCAGCAATTTAACCCCGGCATTTCATTCCGTGGTATTGAGAGCCGCTCCAACTCGTTCCTCCTACCCCGCCCTCTCCGCAGCCCCCTGACCCCCCCCCCCCCCACCGACCCGCCCCTCTACCGCAGGTACGTGAGCCGCGGCTCCCAGAACCAGACAGAGGCGCCGGAGACGATCCCCGCCGTGCTGCTGACCGACACGGGCCCGTACCGCGGCGCCATGGCCGCCTGCTACCACTCGCCCTGCGACGACCTGCCGCAGCTGCTGCAGGCCGGCCCCGAGAACCTGCCCTTCCTGGCGCACACCACGCAGGCGCTGGTCAACACGCTGGTCGACCTCAGTGGCGCCACCTGCAGCGGCCGGCCGCTCACCGAGCCGCCGCCGCCGCTGCCATCTGTCGGCAAAAAGGCGAAATGAGATGCATATCCTGACTGAGGGTTTGGTAGATTGACTCGGACGGTTGGCTGTTGGCTTCGTGATTGGTCGTTGACTGGGGGGGAGGGGACAGGGAGAGGTGGAAAACTGCGTCATCTTCGTTATGTATTTTTATATTTGTGGTTTGTTGAATATTGCATATAGTTGATCCATGGCACAGACGGGATGTGGGGATTCCGGCTGCGCTTACCCATGCATGATGCAATGCGTGAGAACGGCGTAGTGGAGCCACATGACTTGGGCCAAACTTCCCCAGGTCCAGACTCCAGGCCTTTCTTTCCCAGCCGCCTTTCCCAGCGAAGTTGGCTGGTGAATTATTTACATAGCTGCGCAGTGGCCAATATATTTAGCTGGGGAGGACATCCGCCTCTTCAGCTGGTTTAAAAGGTCATGACCTTTCAAATCATGTTACGGACTATGTTACGGACATGAATGTCCGTAGCATAGTTAGAAGTTTGTGCGCCGATCTAAGCTGGATTTATTAGTATCTTATTGTGGTGTGGTACATAGTACATACCACCGACAATGACTAGCCTCAATATAAAAGTTACCAGATATTACGTGATTATGGTAAGGATACAATCACCAGGGTATTTTGGAATGAGGCGAATATGACACTTACAATGATAATCACTCATCACCGAATTATCATTAATCTGACCGATGAGATATGCCCCAAATACCGTGACCTTTCCTATTCATTGAAAGATGCAATCTCAGTTTTACTTTACCTTATTTTAACGATCAATGACTCAATCAACCGTAGACCTTGCAATTTTTATGCAAGCACCTTTTGCATCGTCTGGTGAACGGAGAGTTAAAAGACACACAAAGGAATTAGTTCTGAAAGCGACGCACAAACTTCTAAGAGCCAGCGTGAAATTTAGTTATGTTTCACTGAAAATGCATGCTGGAGAAGTACATGAACTCAGTATAATTTTGACTTATGGCACAGCTATGTAAGGGACCGAACAAGGTCGCACTATTTACATTTGCCTAATAATTTTGTTTTCCCAACAAACACTAACTCAAGTAGGTACTGAATGCGTCGCATGTTGTTTAGGTCATGACTAATTACTCAAGGATATAAGTGTTGTATGCCTGTATTGATACATATTACGTGTATGCCTATACCTACGCTTTATATGCCTATATCGATGCAGAGGGTGTAGAACGTACGTACACTAGGTCATGAACACACCTTTCTGCAGTGATAGGTACAGTTTATTGTACCGAATATGGATACTGTTAAGCCGGTGTTGCGCTATGTGACCCCAGTTGTTGTCAGCGGTGTTAATTGGCTGGTTGAAATGTTCCACATACCTATATCGGTACTGTGTTTGATCTAGCTCCCGGTTCTCACTGCTACCAAGCAGTTGATAACGTCCGAAGACTGTTACCTCGTGTTGCAGGTGCTATAGTCCGACGTATAGGGTGTTCACTAAAAATTGACACAAACTTTGAATGACTGCACATCAAAAGTGAAGCAAGCTATTACGATGCAACTTAGCATGGAGATTGCACATCAAAAGTGAAGCAAGCTATTACGATGCAACTTAGCATGGAGATAAAAGGGACATTTTTGTATCATACCGAACATAAAATTTCATGGGTGTAATGAAAACAGTCGCGTTGGAGGTCGTTTTAAATAAGGCCCACCGAAAGCCAATTGGCACGCTTTCCCAAAATAGTACGTCAATGGGAGAGTCTGGCACGTACAAATACCTAATGAAAGCTTAAAATGTCGAAATTAGTTACATACCGCACTGGCGGATCCAGGGGGGGGGGGCCACGGGGGCCATGGCCCCCCCCCAAAGGCCTAAAGTGGCCTGTTTGGCCCCCCCAAAACGCCAGAAAAATTGCTAAGAAAATATACCTTGATGGAGGTTTTTAGCCACTTGGTGAAGTAAAGCTTTCCACAGCATAATATGGAAGCAATATTGTAGCAGTGAGGGTCAGTCAAAAGTTGCGCGAGCGGAGTCGACCTTAAAAAAAAAGACTGTTGTTGGCACGTGTTTATGGCGCGGCAGCTGGTAGTTGGCGGTGTTTCGCGTGGTGTGGCATCACTGGCGGATCTGGGGGGAGGGGGGGCACGGGAGCCTGAGGTGCCCCTGACAGGCCCGTGGTGCCCTTGCTAGGCCTGTGGTGCCCCTGGACCCTGGCAGGCCTGTGGTACAGTCCACAGCAGAAGTAATGTGGGGTTTCAGTCATGGGTGTGTTCTGCTTCTGAAGCTTAGGAACGATTAGCCAGACTACGATGAAACTTTGAATGTAGCTTATATGTATCGTCACCCTTGCAGCTGCAACTTTAGCTATTGACATCTTCTTTTCAATCACTTCGCATTAAACAATCGCCAGTCAAAGCCAACCGTTGAGTTTGGTAAAACCCTACATTACTTTAGCGGTGGGCTGTACCTCTGGCGGGCCTAGGGTGCCCTTGCTAGGCTGCTGATGCCCCTGGGACCTGACAGGACTGTGGTGCCCCTGACAAGCCTAAAGTGCCCCCAACAGGCCCGTGATGCCCCCGACACGCCCAAGGTGCCCCTGCGTGATGCCGTGATGCCTGCGAGGCCGGTGGTGCCCCCTGCGAGGCCGGTGGGGCCCCTGACAGGCCCATGGTGCCCCTGCTAGACCGGTGGTGCCCCTGGCAGGCCTGTGGTGCCCCTGCTAGGCCGCTGGTGCCCCTGGGCCCTGACAGGACTGTGGTGCCCCTGACAGGCCCAAGGTGCCCCTGTAAGGCCGGTGGTGCCCCTGTAAGGCCTGTGGTACCCCTGCTAGGCCTCTGGTGTCCCTGACAGGCCCATGGTGCCCCTGCGAGGCCGGCGGCGCCCCTGGCAGGTCTCTGGTGTCCCTGACAGACCTGGGGTGCCCCTGACAAGCCTGTGGGGCCCCTCACAGGCTCGTGGTGCCCTTGCTAGGCCTGTGGTGCCCCTGGCGGGCTGGTGGTGCCCCTACTAGGCCGGTGGTGCCCCTGACAGGCCTGTGGTGCCCCCGGGCACCAAGGGGGTCATGACCCATGTGGCCCCCCTTGGATCTGCCACTGATGCATAATATATTGATTTGTAAAGGCGTTATGGCTTATGCAATATGCAATTGCAGGCACTTGGTATCCCTCACTTATCCCTCATTGGGGGCTCTGGCGGGCTCCTGAGGGCCCACGTCTATCTCCGGGAGCCCTAGACAGGCTCCTTTGGGTCCTTTCAGTCCACTATAGCATAAGAGGTCTCCATGCGAGTCCTATACATCTGAGGACGTACCCTGACGTCTGAGGTACTCAACTGCAGCTCCAATGGTCTCTTACACTGGCGGATCCAGGGAGGGGGCATTTAGGGCCATGCCCCCTTCCCAGAGGCCTAAAGTGGCCCGTTTTCCCCTCCCCCAAACGATAATGAAACATAGTTCAATCAGGGCGTGGCCCAGGAGCCGAGTTAGACAGGGCTGTTTTACCACCTCCCGGCCCGCAAAGGGACCCAAGCACTGACTCGAAGCGGGTTAAAGAGACCCTCCCACCTTCAAAAAAGTTAATGAATTGGCATGAAAGTGATGTCGCTAGGTTCAGAAAGGGCGAAAACGAATATCTACCAAATTTTATCGAAAAATATTCACCGGTTTTCAAGAGATTAGACTTTTATTTTTGTTTACTTTTTGGGATATCCGCTGCTGTTCCTAGCGACTTTATTTGAAAGTGCGGCATTTGTTGCGCGCAAAGCAGCCTATACCACCGCATGCTACCAAACGTTTTAGTAAAATATTAAAAAATCATTAGATCTCCGCTGACGTCACACATTCAGAGGGGTATCCAAAAGCATTAGCCCCTCTGAATCAAAATGCTGCAATTTTGAAATTCAATATTTCCGATTTAAGGCATTTCTCGATGTTGTGAGTGCGTGCGGAAACCGGTAATTGTGAGCCAGGGGCCCCATTTTGGCCATCTCAGCTCAAATCTAATGTTAAGGTGGGAGGGTCCCTTTAACTGGTCGATAAAAACAATGGTAAGTGTTTACAAAGTAATATAAAGGCATGGGTCGGGTGGGCTACCATTTATATATTTTTCTTTTTAGTTAAAAAAAATTCATAGTGTCAGGGCTGTGACGAAAAATAAGTGGCCTAAATCCGATGAGAAAACAGGATTTGGGGGTACCCTAGGTTTGGCTCCTGCATGAGTTGGCCCCCCCCCCCAAAACGCAAGCCTGGATCCGCCAGTGACATACCGTATGGTGGGACGAAAGTTCTAGTGGGTGTGGGAGTCAGAAAATCTGAAGTGGTGCAAATGTGAAGATACTGACGAAAGGAAAGGTCGGGGCCCCGAAAATGCACGTGGAGGGGCTTTTTGGCACCTCACGATGCAATGCTGCCGATCAGTAAGGTATTAACTGTGCCTAAGCGAAGAACATATACCACACCTGAGGCTAGGATGAGTTACAACCGGCATAAATGATTTCTCGAAGCGACTGGGAACAACATAAGGCAAGAAAAGTAAATAAACAAAGGTCAAGAAAGCGCCACAAATTGCAGAAAACGACCGATCTATTTAAGGAAGAAAAATCATGTTTTTGTCAAAGGGCTACAATTTACTAGACAATGGAGTGTTCTGTAGTGATGTTATCAATGATACAAGAGCTAACGTCCATTTAGCATCCTAGCTAACGCTGGATGCCGTGGTACGTGTGTTATTTCAGAGCATATCATCAGTTCGACTTTATTCCTCCAGGCCGGTCCTTTACAATATGATACTTTCTGAGTCAAGTGTATTATTTAGCACTAGAGGTTCATGCAGAACAACATATGTAACCAGAAGGTGATCTTCTGGTCCGACCTCGCGCCAGCACACTAATCAAGGGGCGCCTTGGGGGCTCCGGCCGATGTAAAAATTGCATGATTGAAACAAGGCCCGATAAGCCATTTGCTACGACTGAAATTAACAAATGAGTATCTAATGTGATTTGCCGAAGGCTATTACGTATATTGGTGTCTTTAAATTTGATACAAAATATCAACTGGCTGCTCATTACCGCCATGAATTGGCCAAATTCACGGTCCACTGGTGCCAGACCTTGTGAAAACACTTACAAGAAAATGTCCAAAAAATGACCTACGGGAATCAGGCAAATCTGTTGACGCTCAACGGTTTGCAGCAGATGCAATGTGCATTACAACAATGCCTCGTTTGTTTAAATCGGTACATTTTTACCGAAGATACAGCCTGCTAAACCTTGTCTCAATTTTTAGTGAACACCCTGTATGTTTGGAGCTAAGTATGAGTGCTCGCTCGAGCCACTGCCGAAATAAAATACAGTTATTTTAACCACCGAAGTTTTGTTTTTATAATTGGAAAGGCGGATGCTTGTGCAAGTGTCACTTTCGTGGAGGAGCCCGATATTTTATCTGAAGAATGGTGTGAAAAAATTGTCTGCATGTACGTTTTAGAAGCCGTGTAACTTAGACATATAACTTAGGCCGTGTAACTTTGTAGAACAACTTTAGGCAGCCATATTTTAGGAATATGTTTTGGCAAATTAGGTCAAATTATGATAAATTTGCTAATTCTAAACTATAAAACCAAATAATGAACAAAAATTCAGTTTATAAAACGTACTGCAGCGTCCCACCAGCCGTGTTTCCTCCTGCCCGACTAAATAGTCCAACTCTGGATGAAAAAACGTCTCCGCGGCCAATGCACCGCATGGTGTCACTAGCAATCAATAACGCTGGCGCCAGCCGTCATGCGTGTGGTGTATACGTTGACAGGTAGTGAGTTTTGTCCCCCTCTGCAG